GAGCTAATAGAACTCAACGAATCGTGCATGCGTGTAGAAGAGTGACTGAGCGGAAGAAATATTAGGAAGGGGACAAATTTTTACCTAAAGAGGCTTTTCAATATAGTCATTTTCATTTTACCTAAAGAGGCTTTTCAATATAGTCATTTTCAGAGTTCGAACTCATACCGGTAGTGGAGCGTGGTGTCCTCTACATCAAATAAACAGCACTCAAAAAGAATGGATTCAAGTCACATTTGGAAGAGATATGGGTAAGTAAACGGCCTCAAACCAAAGAAATCGATATCCCAACTTTATAAAAGAAACATAGGAAATTGCTCATCTTAAACTAAGGTTCTTAACTTTCACAATTGAAAAATGTTGGAGGAATAGCTTCTTTTGCTTCTGTATGCATTTGACTGACTTTTTTATGAGCTGTTGATCTAAAATATTTTTAAAGTACAGTCTAAAAATTTTTCTGGTTTTATATCATATGTTACATATTATTTTGGTATCATCAAGTCAAAAACTGAAACTTACAATTTTTGCTTGGCGCTTCTGTCTCTGCGAGGAATCTTGTGATGAATTTACATGTTAAGGTTTTGATTATGAAAAACTAACTTAAAAAGACTTTCTTTCAAAAATAATTGCATTCTCTATTATTCTGTATATTCTTGGAGTGTGCTTGTCCATTTTGCATCGCAATATTCATTTCCCAATGACAAAAAAAGCATATCAAGAAGAGGTAGAAACAGAAGAAACAGCTGCCACACACAATTATTTTAGTATTTTTTTGCTAAAGCAAAAAGCGACTTTTGCACTTTTATCAAACTGTCTCATACTTTGCAAGAAATTGGCTTATTCTCTAATCATAGTAATTCTTCTGAATTTTATCGAGCTTTTTTCAGTCGTGACAGCAGTAGAAGTGCAAGGTCGATACGACGAGGGACGTGGTATGGAGTTTGCTCGAGCATTTAAAGTCGAGTATTGGAGGCCGAGTCTACAAGGCTGGGCATCTTACAAAAGCGAGGAGAACACTGAGGTATGGACAGGCTTGAGATTGACAAGTACTTCAATTATTCACCAATTGATCACATCCATAACATCCCAGTGGCATGTTTGATGCGCACAGTCATCCAGCAGATGTTGCGCTGTCCAC